ACACCTGTAATCCCAGCACTTTGGGAGGCCAAGGCAGGCAGATCACAAGGCCAGGAGATCGGGACCATCCTGGCTAACATGGTGGAACCCCGTCTCTACTAAAAATACAAAAATTAGCTGGGTGTGGCAGCGTGTGCCTGTAGTCCCAGCTGCTGGGGAGACTGAGGCAGGAGAATGGCATGAACCCGGGAGGCGGAGCTTACAGTGAGCTGAGATCACATCACTGCACTCCAGCCTGGGCAACAGAGTGAGACTCCATGTCAAAAAAGATAACTAAATAAAAATAAAATAAAATAAAATAACTTAGCTCTTTCCAGCAATTGCCAATCATAAAATTGTTGAATCCATCTGTGAGCTGGAAGCCCCTGCTTTGAGTTTCTCACCTTTCTGGACCAAACCAATATACACCTCACATGTATTGATTGATGTCTGCCTGTAACTTCTGTCCCCCTAAAATATATAAAATCAAGCTGTAACCCAGCCACATTGGGCACATGTTCTCAGGACCTCTTGAGACTGTGTCTCGGGCCTTGGTCACTCATATTTGGCTCAGAATAAACCTCTTTAACTATTTTACAGAGTTTGACTCTTTTCATCAACACCATCATCTTTGGAAAAGTGCCATCTGTCACAGTCCACACTCTGGCAATAGCAGCTCACATCCCTCCCACATATAAAAGATGCAGCCAACGATGTGACTCTAAATACTTTTATAAGACCTCAGAAAGATTTCAGATGGTACCTCATGAACACTTTCAGACAGAAGTCAGCCTTTCAAGGATCTTAAGACACCACTTGTGCCTTTGGCCCACAGGTCTTCCAGGTTTCAAGAAACCATCCTAAAGGGGCTGTCCCTGAGAAACCTTATCAGCACTGGTACCTGATTTGATAGCAAAATCTTGAACTTTGAGCTGATGCAGTAATAGGATGAGACTCTGGAGACCTTGAGGAAAGGGAGAGTGCATTTCGTATGTGGGAGGGATGCAAGCTGCTATTGAGACTGAATGTAGTCTTAGACAGTGCCCCTAATTCAGCCATTGCACTGAGGACCTTTCTTTGAGAATGCTTTGCTAACTGGAAAGACTGATTTGAGCCCTCCATACTTCCTCTAAAGTGTGCTGGAAAACTGAACAGTTCCTCTTTCTCCAGCCATATTTCATCATAAGTAGAAACCAACTGACACTTTAAATTGTCTGCCAGGAAATATCCTTGGCCAAACCCACTGGTTCATTAGGTATATTTTCTATTTTCAGGGTTATTGTAGGTGACAATGTTGCTAAACCTTTTGTTACACTTAGCAAGGTCACTTTTCTTCCACCCTCCAGTCATAACTTCCTCCCCATCTTTCCAGCCTTCACTGACAGTCTTCTCAAGGTCAGCCCAGCTTTCAGCAACAAACTTCTCAAGGCCACTTAAGCCTGGAAGACTGAATATACATACAGACAATGACCAGACAATATATAAAAACAGGACTCTGACCCACAATCTGCAGCAACCAACCTAGAAAACCAGCCCATGATTTAGAGAAACCAGCCCAAGAAGCAAGCCTACTAGAAATCAGACTGCTATCTCTAGCAACAATCCAGGAAACCAAACAATAGCCTCTGGAACAACTGGTGCCAAATGACCAAGACTTGATTAATAACTGACAGCTTCCCTAATTTTTTTATTTTTGTCTCCACTTCCAACTTAGGGCCAACCAGGGAAAGCCAAATGTGCAGCCTAACCAGTCAAAGAGGATGCTCCACTTCTAGTTAGCCTGCCTAAAGCTTCCCAATGCCAGCAGCCTCCAATAGGGCATACCCAAAGCCTTCCCTTTTTTCTACTAAAAACTTTTCCACTCCTCTCCCTGCCTTTGAGTGTCTTCCAAAATGCAAGTAATGGCAGCTGGCTCCCTTGCTACAGCAAGCTCTAAATAAATAGCCTTTGGTTGTTCTCATGTGGTTGATCTTCCTTTATTTCCACAAGCTTCTTTCTGCTGCCTAGTGAAAAGCTGATTGCTTTCACTTATGTTTTGGGTTTTTGTTATGGGAGAATCCCACTTCCAGCTACCAAATTCTGTTTTGATTATCTATTACTCCACAACAAACCACCCCTAAAACTTAGTGGCATAGACAATAGTTATCTTATTGTGCTCACAGATTCTGTGGGTTAGGAATTCAGACACAGTAGAACAAGGATGGTCTATTTTTGCTCCACAATATCTAGGTGTCAGTTGGGAAAACTGGAATGACGAGGGGCAGGAATCACCTGGTGGCTGCCCCACTCACATGTCTGTTGCCTGGGCTGGGGTGGTTTGAAGACTGGGTTCAGCTGGGGCTGGCAACCAGAAAACCTGCCATGTGGCTTTTCCATGTGACTTGGCTCTTTACAGCATGGTGGCTGGGCCCTGTGAGGGAGTGTCCTGAGAGGCACAGACAAGCTGTGAATGTTCTAAGAGAGAAAGGTGGAAGCTGATTGACTTTTCTGATTAGCTTTAGAAGTGACATTTGTTGGTTCAAGTGAGTCACTTAGACTAATATATATTCAAAAAGAGGGAATTAGATTCTGCCTTTTTTTTCTTTTTTAATTAATTTATTTTTGAGACAGAGTCTCACTCCATCACCCAGGCTGGAGTGCAGTGGTACAATCTCAGCTCACTGCAATCTCTGCTTCCCGGGTTCAAGCGATTCTTGTGCCTCAGCCTCTTGAGTAGCTGGGCTTACAGGCATGTGCCACCACACCCAGCTAATTTTTGCATTTTTGGTAGAGACGGGGTTTCACCATGTTGGCCAGGCTGGTCCCGAACTCCTGACCTCAAGTGATCCGCCTGCTTCAGCCTCCCAAAGTGCTGGAATTACAGGCATGAGCACCATGCGCTGCCAGATTCTGTCTCTTGATGTGGGAGTGACAAAGTCCCTCTGCAGAACATGTGGAATGGAAGAGACTGTTGCAGCCATTTTGGTAACTATGATTTGCCACTCCAGGCCACCCTCTTCTTGAAATCTGTCTATTAATTTATTCATACATTACTTATATTTACCCTGCTTTCTTTCAAAAATAATTTGAGAGCTGAGTACAGTGATGCAAGTATGTAGTCCCAGCTATGCAGGAGGCTGAGGCAGGAGGATTGCTTGAGCCCAGGAGTTCAAGACCAGCCTGGGCAATATAGTGTAGAGATGGGATCTTGCCATATTGACCAGGCTGGTCTGGGACTCCTGGGCTACAAAAGTTTTTCAAAACATTAGTGGTCCATGGTGATATGTGCCTGTAGTTCTAGCTACTTAGGAGGCTGAGGCGGGAGGATCACTGGAGCCCAGGAATTGGAGGTTACATTGAGTTATGATTGAGCCACTGCACTCCAGCCTGGGTGACAGACTGAAAGACCCTGTCTCCAAAAAAAAGAAGAAGAATTTGGGGAAACTTCATTGTAGTTAGAAGATGGATTGGTGGGCATGGAAGCAAAACAAAGGAAGTTGGTTGCTCTCAGGTGATAATTTCATACAGGTATTCATTTATTCATTCCATAGGTATTTTTTAAGCATTAACAATAGGCTCATGCTGTGGTCAGCACAGATGTGAGGGGAACAAAATTAATACAGATCCTGTTCTCATGAAACTTAAGTCCAGTTGGTGAGGCAAACACTCTAAAATAATCACACAAATAAGTAACTGTGAGTGCTGCATAGCTCACAAATGTTATGCAGCCATGGTCGAGGAATGTGCAGCACAGGAGCTTGGTCTAGTCCAAGCAGTTAGAGAAGACTTCCCTAAAACAAAGCAATATTTAAGCTACTAAATAACTCAACAATGAGTAAAAGGTAATTAAACTAGGATGTTGCGAAGTATGTTACAGAAACTACTAGTGGTACACAGATATATTATTATTGTCATTATTCTGTATTTTATAGTTTTGCGTGATTTGTGACCAGTGAAATTGGCTCTCCATTTACATTGGCATATAAAATTTCCTTGTAAAATAAATGTATTTAAATTTTAAAAGCTGTAAATGTAAAGAAAGATCATAAGAAAAATAATAGAGTAGGCATTACACAGAAAGGGCAAACATGAAGGTGTTAGGTGTAAACCCGAAGCTTAGTAAATACTGGACTAGGTGTGCTGGAGGGTGGGTTGAGGAGGGGAGTCGTGGGCAAAAGCCTGAAGTGGAAGAAAGACTCAGGGGTCCAACAAGCAGAAAGGAACCAATATGGCTGGAGCAGAAAGAAAGAGGAAGTCACTCACTGTGAGCCAGGCGAGGCCAGCAGGACCTCGATATTCAGGGACTTTCGTTCAGAACTGAAACTAAAATCAACATGAGCAGCTGTACTTTCTTTCCCTTAAATATTGTACTTGTGGAAGTTTACTACAAAATCACTGAACTTCACTGAGTATTTGAATAGTGATTGATTTATATTTTTGAGACACAGTCTTGCTCTGTTGGCCAGGTTGGAGTGCAATAGTGCAATAACAGCTCACTGCAACCTCAACCTCCTAAGCGCAAGTGATCCTCCCACCTCAGTCTCCCAAGTAGCAGGGACCACAGGCATCTGCCACCACGCCCAGCTAATTAAAAAAAAAAAAAATTTGTAAACATGGGTTCTTGCCACGTTGACCAGGCCTATCTATTCTGGAACTCCTGGGCTCAAGTGATCCACCCACCCTGGCCTCCCAAAGTGCTAGGATTACAGGCAAGAGCCACCGCACCCAGCCTGAATAGTAAATTTTTAATAGAACAAACTTAGTCTATATAGATAACAACAATATTAACTTGCAGTGTCTAAGAGCTAATATTCCCACAGAAAATAGTGTTGTTCAATCTGTTTTAATTATCCTAAAAGCAATGGGACACCATTGAAGAATTTGGGAAAGAGGAGTGATAAAACCTAGTTTGTGAGTTTTTAAAAAGTGATTTCTATCAATGTATCCATGCATTTAAAAAATTGTACAGGAATGCTAATAATAATAAGATGCAACATTCTGCTCTCCAACCTCTTTCCCACCCCCAGAAACAACCACCTTACCTTTTTTCTGTTTGTATTCTCCTGGTGGTTTCCTCCTTCTCTCCAGAAAAAAAATATGCTTTCTTGCTTTTTCACATTTGGACACTGCAGTGCATACATCACAGATGCTTGCTTAGCTATCATAGGCTCAGCGGTCTCCCAGCCACTCAGCCTCCCCTGACGAGGCCATCCCAGTGGTGACTGACCGAGTGTGTGCATGTGGTTCCACCGCAGCAGCCATCAGGCCACGTGCCCAGATCTGGCTTCCCCAGTGGCTATGAAAGGGGCCAGGTGCCAGGTGACACAACCCAGATGTGTGTGGGCATTAACTGCCCCAGCCAGCACATTTTGACCTGCAGAAGATAGAAGGCAAAGTGAGCTTGCAGATGCATTTTCTCTCCCTCCTGCTTTTGAGGGACTGTCCCAGGCACAGTATTTCCATAAAGCCTGTCCAAAGAGGTCCTTTGTGACTGAGCAGCCAGCCACCTGCTGAGAAACTAGCTCTGTTTATTCATGGCTCTTCATGAAGCAATGGCCAGTGCAGTCATTCATCACCTTGTACTTGCTGCCATTCCTTCCCTGCCATTCCTTCCCTGCCTCTCTTCCTTTTCCCCTGGCTCTCGCAGAGCTGGGTCTGTACCTCCCTAAAAAATGTAAGCACTTAAGCTTTGCCTCGGGCTCTGTGTTCTAGGGAAATCAGACAAAGACAGACATTGCCAATATTATTGATGAACTCAATAATATGATTTATATCACCACTTCCATCTCTCTCCCATGTTAACTCATTGTTTTTAGTTCTATCAGCTATGCTTACAAGCATAAGTTACAACTTTCAATTTTGTGCTTATAACTTTACTTCATTTTCCAATCATCAGAGCCAGTCTCTTGTTTCTGATACTTTGCAAGATGAAGACATTGGTGTCCTTTCCCTTCTTTTCACCTCTCTTTCCCTGATCATTTCCAAACCTCTGTCATCATACTGTCCCATCCTTAAGGTTGAAAGCATTTACATACTGTTCTATAATCCCTTTTCTGCTATTTTCCTAAGTGCTGATTCTAAATTTGAAAATCAATATGCAGTGTCAATCACTATGATGACTATCCATTGAACAGTGAATGTTTATTAAGAGTTTGCTATGTTTTAGGCACAGTTCTCCAGGCTCTAGGGATAGAACAGGGAAGAAAATGGACAGAAATCCTTGCCTTCACAGAGCTTTCATTTCAGTGAGGAGACAAACAAAAAACAATACAGATACATAAACTATAGAGCATGCTGGGTAATGGAAAGTACTAAGAGGAGAATAAGGCAAGGAAGAAGAATAAGAGTCGGTCAAAGGAGCTGAAATTTTAGGTAGGCTGGGCAGGGAAGACTGCTCTGAGAAAGTAAGGAAGTGAGGGATCGAGCCAAGCAGCTATCTGCTGGAACAGCATTCCAAGCAAAGGGAACAGCAAGTACAATGGTCCTAAGACAGGAGTGTGCTTATTGTATTCAAGCAACAGCAAGCAAGCTCATGTGGCTGGAGAAGATTGACCAAGCGGGAGAGTAGAGGGGAATAAAGATAGAGAAGTCATGGGGAGCAGATCACGGAGGGCCTTAGAAGCCAAAGCAAGGACTTTGGCTTTTACTATAGCAGAGGCAGATAGCCTTTGAAAGGGTTTGAGCAGTGGACAGACAGGATCTAACATACATGCGAACAAGACTACTCTGGATATCATGATAAGAAGACACTGAAGGGGGTGAGGAGGAAGCAGGAAAAGTAGTTGGGAGACTCGAAACAATCTAAGCAAAGGATGATGGTGGCCTGAAGTAGGGTGACAGTAGTGAAAGAGATGAGAAGAAGTCAGAATCTCTATTTTGAAGGTAGAGCCAATATGATTGGTGAGTGATTGGATGTGGCAGAAAATGCAGTCAAGAATGACTCTAGAGTTTTACCTGAGCACCTGGAAAAATGGAGTTGTCACATAAGGAGACAGGGACGACTGTAGAGAGAACAGAGCTTAAAAGAAAAGATACAGGCTCTGCTGTAGCCAGTTTGAGTTGCTGGTTTTTGTTTTGTTTTGTTTTGTTTCGAGACAGAGTCTCGTTCTGTCGCCCAGGTTGGAGTGCAATGGTGCGATCTCAGCTCACTGCAACCTCCACCTCTCAGGTTCAAGTGATTCTCCTGCCTCAGCCTCCTGAGTAGATGGGATTAGAAGCACCTGCCACCGTGCCCAGCTAATTGTATTTTTAGTAGACACGGGGTTTCACCATGCTGGCCAGGCTGGTCTTGAACTCCTGACCTCGTGATCTGCCCACCTTGGCCTCCCAAAATGCTGGGATTACAAGCATGAGCCACCGCGCCTGGCCTCATTGCTGTTTTAATTATCTATATTGCATAACCAATCACCCCAAAAACTCAGCTGCTCAAAACAGCAATTTACTGTCATCACTCATAGTTTCTGTAGGTAAGGAATTTGGATAGGATTCAGCTGAGCAGTTCTTGCTCGAGGTCTCTCACTGAAACTGCCCCAGTTTTAGCTCTAAAAGCCCTGTGTCCTGGCAAATCTCTCCCAAGGATATGAAAAGTTCTGGTTGTCAGTGATGGGGGCAGAAGTTGGAGAGAAAATACAACACTATACGGTGACCCTAAAAACTAGAGACTGAACGCCGTGCTATTTATAGTGTTAAATGGATACAGCATTGACTCTCTGCCTTTGGGAGTCACTATCACTGATTTTTCCTGACCACTGAGGTTGACCACAGTGGTTTGTGGTTGACATAATGGATCACCCATTCTGGCATCACTTCAAGTAATATGAATTAAGTATGCAACTTGAGTTGCAATCGTGGGTGTTAACAGTCTGTTTGACTTCACCTATAGATTAACCGTCGTGCTTATTTTATTTTATTTTTTTTTGGAGACAGGATCTTGCTCTGTCGCTCAGATTGGAGGGCAGTGGCACAATCACGGCTCACTGCAGCTTTAACTTCGCAGGCTCAAGCGATCCTCCCACCTTAGCCTCCTGAGTAGCTGGGACCACAGGCACGTGTCACCACACCTGGCTTTTTTTTTTTTTTTTTTTTTTTTTTTTGTAGAGACAGGGTGTCCCTGTGTTGCCCAGGCTGATCTCAAACTCCTGGGCTCAAGTGATCCTCCCCACTGGGCCTCCCAAAGAGCTGGAATTATAGGTGTGAGCCATTGGGCCCCACCAAATGTCTGAGGATTAGTGTGACCACTCCGGAGAACTAGGATAAGCCCCACCCAAAGTTCAGTTCAGACGTTAAGACTCCTAATGCCAAGTACACCTCAGGACATAATGGAAAGGTTGATTACTTACATAATTGAGGTCTCTGGGGAAAGCAGAGCGGACCTTTCTGTAAGTCCAGAATGGCTTGAGAGAGCAGGGAACAGAGACTGGTTGAGTTTTATTGTGGTTAGGGGTGGAGGCGGGGTGAGGGCTGCCCCCTGTTGGGAGGAGCTTATGTAGTTTGAGTCTCTCCACAGCACAGAGAGAACACCCAGCCTTTCTTATCAGCTTGCCCAGATGTGGGGCAGACGGAGAGACAGAGAGGTGGGGCTCAATGCTGTTGCTAGCCAAACACCAAAGAGTGGAGCCAGACTCCTTATTCCAGAGAGTGCTAGTTTAATTTTTAACATTGTAAATATTGTGGCAATATTTTCTAAAAGTTCAGATTGTGAAAAAGAGAACAACTACAATATCACCAGCACGACCCAGATCTCGCTGAAAAGGAAGGCTAAATGACTGTGTTCTCTTAAGGACAGAAGGAAGGACACATACAACTGGATTAGGGAGGTAAGTCACCAAAATGGCGCACACTGCACAATATGCAGAAAGCAGCTTTGGCCTGGGCATTGCAGAAAAGGTGATTGCGAAAACACACGTGGGCGCTGGATTTCACAATTCTGGGATTAGACAAGGAAGAATTTCTAAATCAGAAGAGTTTTTTTGTTTTTGTTTTTGTTTTTGTCTCCCAAAGACACCTATGCTCAGTTAAAAACAGTGACCACTGAATTGGTATGGGCATACCACATGAACAAACACACAGTATTTTATCATTCTCTTGATGGCACTATGGAAATGAGTGAAGTTACATTTCCTGATTCACAAGCTGAAGCTATAATGTACTGTGGGCAAACAAAAGGGGGAAATTTGAGAACTGACATGTTGGGCCCTGTAATAGATTGCTAGGGCTGCCAAAACCAAGTACCACAAAACAGGTGGCTTGACACAACAAATTTACCCTCTCATAGTTCTGGAGGCAAAAAGTCTGCAATCAAGATGTCAGCAGGACTGTGCTCCCTCCGAGGTTCTAGGGAGGAACCTGTTGCACGCCTCCATCCTAGTTTCGGGTGATCCTGGCAGTCCTTGGCATGCCTTCGCCTGAAGCTACAGCACTCCAATTTCTCCTTCCAGCCTCACTTGGAATCACACATCTTCCGCGTGTGTGTGTGTGTGTGTGTATGTGTGTGTGTCTGTCTGAATTTCCCTCTTCTTTAAGGACAGCAGTTATATTGGATTTATGGCCCACCCTAATCTAGTATGACTTCATCTTAACTTGATTACTTCTACAAAGACCCTTATTTCCAAATAAGGTCACATTCACAGGTTGCAGGTGGACATGAATTTTAATGTTGGGGGTGATACTGCTCAACACAGTACCGCCCTTTGGAACTCTTCTCATCAGATTGTACCTATGATCATGCCTCCTATAATATATCAAGAAATGAATTGAATTATAGCAACAACAAAATGTTCTCCTGCTCTTACTTTAATTTGAAAAATGGAGTTTCAAACAATTGTCTTATTTCTATGAAGATTTTAGTGAAACTACAGAAAGCACAAAACAAAAAATTGTTGATATTTTGTTTAAAAAAAATAGACTTTCCTCATCTATCTGCATATTCAGCAGAAAGTGCTGCTAGGAAAATCCTGGGAAATTTTATTGTTTATAAACTTCTATAATATGGACTTGATTATAGCAGAGCTGCAAGTCAAAATGAATTTACATTTGACTGTATTCACTTTTACCACTGCATAAAAGGAAGGAAGGATGTCCTAAAAGCTGCAGGCAGTTCAGAGAAATATTATTGAAAAAGGCGGCTGGGCATGGTGTCTCACGCCTGTAATCCCAGCACTTTGGAAGGCCAAGGCGGGTGGATCACCTGAGGTCAGGAGTTCGAGACCAGCCTGACTAACATGGTGAAATCCCGTCTCTACTAAAAATACAAAATTGGCCAGGCGTGGTGGTGCGTGCCTGTAATCCCAGCTACTTAGGAGGCTGAAGCAGGAGAATTGCTTGAACGATCATGCCATTGCACTCCAGCCTGGGCAACAAGAGAGAAACTCCATCTCAAAAACTAAATAAATAAAATAAACAAGAAAAAGGCAACCGAAGGTTTAAAAAAACCTACCACATCACAGGGCAGAAGGAAACATGTCATTGCAATTTTTTATTAAATATAGGTAATATTTGGTTAATAATACTATTTATGTTCTTCTTTTAAAATATCTCATGTATATTTTCTTAAGAATATATAATAATAGAACCTGCAAAATTTAAATACCTAATATAGAGTTAAAAAAAGATAAAACAAATTGCTATATCAAAGGACAAGAAGAAAGTTATTAAAATATTGTCATATTTCGCTCACACATATTATGTGTTTAGTTAGTCCTATTGTTAATTACTTCTAATTGCATTATTTATTAGTCCCATTGTTTATTTACAAATTTTTAAGTAATTTAAATAATTAATTTAAATTTATGTTTGTGTGCATATGAGATCTCTGATAGTCTACTTTTGAGAATAATTTAGTAAAGCTTTTAAATAAAAATCAGAAGTAACTCCATTAATTGCATTATATGTCATAATTATATTTTTCTGTTTATTTAATGAAATAAAACTTTATAGCTGACTAAAAAAAATTCTTTTTTTTAGACAGAATCTCATTCTGTCACCCAGGCTGGAGTGCAGTGGCATGATCTCATCTCATTGCAACCTCTGCCTCCCAGGTTCAAGCTACTCTCATGCCTCAGACTCCTGAGTATCTGGGACTACAGGCATGCGCCACCACATCCAGCTAATTTTTTGTATGTTTAGTAGAGATGGGGTTTCATCATGTTGGCCAGGCTGGTCTTGAATTCCTGAGCTCAAGTGATCCACCTGCCTCAGCCTCCCAAAGTGCTGGGATTACAGGCATGAGCCACTGCACCCGGCCACTAGCAAACTTTTTTGAATAGGAAGTAGATAATATTTAACACTTTATGAGAGTTGATTGTAAGTGAAATAGTTCATGATATAATTTAATAAAATAGGTACTAACTATATTATTTAATACGGTGCACCCAATCTGAAAGAAATCACATAAAAGTTTTATCTATAGCTTTTATTTAATACATCGTTTTAAAACTAGTAGTCTCAGAAATCATTCCAGTTACAGTGGAAGAATTGTTGTTATTAACTTACACTGATTTGATATTCAAAAAGTTTTTTCTTCCTAGCTAATAACATAGACCTAAGGATGAGAATAGTGAAAAAGGTTTTCTGATGTTTAAATACATTTAAAAAGTCTTCTTTTTTTTTTTTGGCCAGGTGTAGTGGCTCATGCCTGTAATCCTAGCACTTTGGGAGACCAACGAGGGAGGATCTCTTGAGCCTAAGAGTTCAAGACCAGACTGGGCAAAATAGTAAGACCCGGTCTCAATTTTTTTTTAAATTGACTCTAAAAAAATAATTTTTTTCTCATTAATAGTTAATAATTTACCAATCAATGTCCTCACCAATATTTCTCACTAATCATCTCTTTGTTCTCCTGGACTCTCACCTAAGAATGATGCACTCTTGATAAAAAAAAAGTCTGGGTCTTTCAATGAAAATTGTCAATGATCTACCACCCTACTCTACAATGTATAGGAACTGAAAACGCTTCAATGTAGGTCAAATGCTGACTTTCCTTGAATGGAAATATACACAGAGAAATGTTAAATGTTTCTGTGTCTTGATCAGAGGTGATGGAACTGCCCTGTGGCTTATCCCCGGAGGTATTGACCCCTGAGATTGAAGGAGGTGAGAGATTGCCTTTGTTTTGTACAGTGAGAGAAGAAATTTTGTGATGTGAATTTTAGGAAACTCCATGTACATGTTGAGGATCTGGTAGCTAATTCCCTTCAACTCTTTTCTCCTTGGAAAGCCATCACAGTTTGAAAACCACTGGTACAGGAGAGAGGGAGAGCAGACAGACTGAGCACATGTGGTATGAAGGAGGGCTGCACTGAGGGTCTCCTGAGATTAACCAGGAAGAATCTGAAGTGAAACTGGTCATGTGTTTCCATCAGCCACAGTCTGCTGCGCTGATACAGGCATGAAGGAGTTAGAGATCTGGATTTAACCAGGGTTGTAGATTTAACCAAGCAAGTAGTTTTGAGAATTTAAAGATGTGATACAGGCCAACAATGAACAATAGGGAAGGAAAAAGAAAAAAAAAAAAAAAAGACCATACTAGAAAGGAAACATAATCACAGTGCACAACTAGATTGTGCAGCAACACATTTTGTATAGACTTTAGCTCCTGACTCATCATACTCTCTCAGATCAGCCTGTCATGTTCCTGATAAGTCCATTACCCATGCAGAAGCATAAAGGATTTACAGGTATATGCCAGGGAGTGATTAAAATGATTGTGTCCAGATGTGGTGGCTCACACCTGTAATCCCAGTACTTTGGGAGGCCAAAGCAGGCAGATTGCTTGAGCCTAAGCATTTAAGTCCAGCCAGGGCAACATAATAAGACCCCATCTCAAAAAAAACAAAAAAAGAAAAAAGAAAAAAAAGCCAGATGTGGTGGCATGCATCTGTAGTCCCTGCTACTTAGGTGGCTGAGGTGGGAGAATCACCTGAGCCCTGGAGTTTAAGGCTGCATGAGCTGTGATGGCACCACTGCACTTGAGCGTGGGTGACAGAGTGAGACCTTGTCTCAAAGAAAAAAATGTTTTTTAAATGACTGAACATGGCACTTTAGGTAGGTAGGAAAGGCTGTGAGGACCCTAGGGAAGGGAAGAAGGTTCAGTGAAAAGGTGATAGCATCAGTGAATTAAAAGTTTAGTGGGAAGGAAACGTTATTAGAGGTGGAGTCCCATAGGAAGTAGGCCGAGAAAATAGTGTTCAGTGAACAGTGCGATTAAAACGGAGATTCAGGAGGATTTTCTGTGTTGATAATAAAATCTAGGGCACTGCTAATAGAAGTATAAAGTGAGTAACATATGTAATTTAAAATATTCTACCAGCCACATGTAAAAAGTAAAATGAAACAAGTGAATTTCTTTTGATAACATTTCACTTAACAAATACATGTGAAGTATTATCATAATATGTAATCAATATAAAAAAATTCATTCGATATTTCATATTCTTTACTTTATGAAACTACATCTTCAAAATTCAGTGTATATTTTACACTTGGGTACATCTCATTTTGACCTAGCCACA